CATTTACAATTGAGTCACTTCAAACTGTGAAAATTAATACACAGATTTCATTTGATTTTTCCCTCTATGTCTATCTCCTTTTGGGTCCAGAAGATGGAAATTATTCATAATATAGTAACAGACACTTGCCTTCAATGTGTACCTAGACAATAGACCATGTTAGAAAGTTACAATATAATTATATATTGTTGTGCTGTCAGTTTATAAGATACTCCCTAATTTTAGAGATTTTAAAATGTGAAAAAATTGTGTCTCAGTATATATAAATATTGTGTGTGTGTGTGCGTGTGTGTAAGGAAGGTAGAGGGAGAAGTTCAACTTGACAATAGAAAAATTCAATGAGTTTTAAAAGGTACATATTTTTCCAAATATATATCAGCACAATCATTTAAATATACTCTTTGCATGCTTCACATGAGAGCAAATTTCCGGGTATTTGATTTCATTTCAACATTAATAATTCTTAGAGATTCTGCATCTTTTCCATCATGACTACACTGGACCTGACCTTCAGGAGTGAGAGGGACCAAAAATGAACAAGAGCCATCCACAGGAAATGATGTATGCTGATGGTCAGAAGGGATAATGTATCCTTGAAGAGGCAAGGCAATTTAAAACATTTTGTTGACAGAGAACAAAATGGGCTAAACATTTTGTTTCCATCATTGTCAATCTTCCTGGGATGCTATTTTAATTTACTCGTTTACCATTCAATTTTAATCCTAAATTAAATTGATATTTCATGTATTTTTTTTCAAAAATTACCAAATTCTAAATCACAAATCCTGAGGTTGCCTTCTATTTTTTTTTTCCTTTTCCTTTTTAAACGTATATGAGTTAGTGATTATCCTTTTCTTCTTGAAAGTCATCTTTCTCTGGAATTATATCTAGGTCATTCTATTTCTTTTCCATCTTTTTCCATCTTTTTAAAGCCGCAGTCACAAACACAGGCCCTTTCCCCAGAAAAAAAGTGGGTAGAATCTCTGTGGGTTAATTCCCACAAACCTGTGGGCCCAGGACCAATAGGAGAGGGCTTGCCCTCCAATAAAGAGGTGTGAACTAATCAGATGTAACTGTTTGTTCCCATACAGGAAGATGTGTCCAGAATTCCTACATCTGATTTTTTAAAATATTGAATCACATATTTTAAAATGGAATTTGCCTGCCATTCAAAATATATCTGCAAGTCAAATTCAGCTCTAAGGCTGCCAGTTCACAACATCTGCTCTAAGTAATTCTTTATTCTCACTTGTCGATTTCCCTTTCTCTAGATCCCCTGAATGTAGGGGATTTAGCAAGTTTCTCTCATAGTCTTGGCTTTCTCCTTTAGTGTCTTTTTCCTTAGTTATCTCTCCTAAATCATCTATGTTGATGGTTCTCACCTCTACCTGCTAGCTCTGACTTCTCCTTTGAGTTTTTAAGATCTGACTTCCCAACAAGTAATTGTTCATGAATGTCTCGTTCAGCATATCTCAAACTATATACCAAATAATTTTCAAACTTCAAATTTTCATTTTCCATATCTATTCACTAAAACTTGCTACTTGAGTTCCAGTCTTAACACCCTCACTAACTAATCCTGTGGCTTAACCAAATGACTTTCTCTGTGCCTCACTTACCTAGAAAAGGGGTTAGTAAATAGTCCCTACCTCACAACGTTATCATGAGGATTAAAAAATATTGACAAGACAGCAGGCTACAAAGTGGACATTTTTTATTGTTTTCTCAGATTTGCAGGAGAGGTCTCAAGTCACTGTATGTTCATGCTAAGTCAGTTCAGTTGTGTCTGACTCTGTGACCCTGTGGGCTGTAACCCGCCAGATTGCTCTGTCCATGGGATTTTCTGTCTGTGTGCTAGACAACTTATTCAGGTCTTCTTAAATAAGTGTGAATCTAGTTTTGTGATTTGTACTTGTTTGGTCACTTTGAGGGTATATAACAAGTGCTACAGATTAATTTTTAAAGGTTGGTAGAAATTTCCACTAAAGATTTTAAAACTTTAATTTAAACTTTAGATTTCATAATGCTAAAAATGCTTCATTCTGTAGTTGAATCACCCTCTGAATAAATATATCAAACCTGAAAAAAAAAAAAAGAAATTTCCTTTAAGGAGAGAGGTTTTAGCTTATAATTTACTGAGTGTAGCTATGTGCTAATTGGCCTTCCAAAGGTATGATATGTATTAACCTATTTAATCCTCATAAGAATCTAGTGAGTTGGGTCTTTTATTAGTCCCACTTTATGGATGGGAAAACTAAGGCAAAATAAGTACATATCTATTGCAAGTGGAGAAGATAAAAGGTCTGGACTTATAAGATTTTTGCTTATGAAGGAAATAATGGCATCTGGACACAGCCATACTTCAAACCAAATTAGAACATAAAGTATTCTTCATGTCGTACTAGCCCTTATATTTAAACACTAAAAAATTATAGCACTGGAATGAATACACGTTCAAGTAAAACTAAATATTCAGTCATAGTAGATAAAAAATTCCAAAACACAGTGGACCATAAACAAAACTAATAACACACAAAGGGTCTGTGTATCTATGTATATGAAAGGTGTGTATACTGGAAAGTAGAACTTTTTGATGACTCACTGTGTATAAATAAGAATTTATTTTGTGCTCTGCCAGATATTCAATTTAGGGCTCTGGAAGCAAGCAGCAAGAGTAATCATGGATTACAGTAGGCAACTAGCCAGCTATATTTACCAACACACAAAGAGAATTTTAAACACTGTTTAGAGTGGGCAGATCTACAAAAACACAAAACACTGAGACCACTCAGCAAGTGCAAAATGCAAAGAAAATTCTTTGGGTCATTATTTATGTTAGATGATGAACAGGACTTATAATCTGCTTCTGATTTACAGCTTCTGTCGGCAGGCTCAGTCCAGTTGGACAGGCAGATACACCGGCTGGTATCAAGGTCCTGCTGAGAACTATCATTACTGATCTGGTACAGCAGGCAGCTTAGGTTGTGGAAATAAGTTGGACAAGCTGCATACAGACAAACAAAAAACATCCTCCCTCCATTGTTAAATTGAGCATAGGCTCCTATGGCACTTGACATTTCAACAATGCTCTTGGCTATGTCTGTCAACCTACATATATGAGGTCAAAAAGAAAAAAAAAAGGACAACCTTAATGAAACTTCCTGACTTCTTAAGTTTTTCATAATTTTTCTCTATTTTCTTTAAATTTTTACAAGCAGGCAGCTACACTATTTAACATCAATAACTATAGTCTCACCTTATATCTAGCATTTGCATGAACGTTATTGTTTATCTAGTCTTCAGTTACTAATTACATAACTCCTGACAAGTTACTTAATTCTTCCTAGAGTTAGCTTCCTCATTCATAAAATGGGGATATTGCTTCCCAGGTAGATCAGTGGTAAAGAATCTCCCTGCTAATGTAGAAGACACAGGAGATGCAGGTTTGATCCCTGGATTGGGAAGATTCCCTGGAGTAGGAAATGGCAACTGGCTCCAGCATTCTTGCCTGGAAAATTTCATAGCCAGAGGAGCCTCGCAGGCTACAGTCCATGGGTCATAGGGAGTCAGACATGTCTGAGCATACACACACACACACACACACACACACACACACATTGACGAAAAAGACGTATACAGTGAACACACAAATGTCACTCGACTATCATGAGCTTTTAGCAATTTATTATCACTTATTTATTTATTATCACTTATTTATTTATCAATTTATTATACAGCATATACCTATAGCTTTTGTATAGTGTTACTTACTACATATTGCATTATATATTATTACATAGATATCACATATTGCATATTATCTAGTTAAACCCCTTTTGTTTATAAAAACTAAAAGCCACAGACATTTATTCACTATTCTAATGTGGCTCTGTTATATTCAGAAGAAATGATTGCATACATTGGAGGTGAGTACAGAAAAGTATAAATCTAGAGTCTTGAGAAGAAGCAAAAAACCACAAAAAACGTCATTGGTGTTTGGTGTTGTTATTCATTAAAATCTTTGCAAAAATCTTCTTCTGAAAAGTTCTTTCAGAAATGGAGCACCAACAAAGATATATATGGTGCTGGGCAAAAGCTTTCCTTCTGCTTGCACCACTGCTGTTATCTTAAAAGTTCCAACAATTCAATCTGGTTTATTTAGGCTAGTGAATATTTTTTTCAGTCCCATAAACTTTGTTTCTCATGTCTTTTTTTGACTCGATGGATTATTTTTATGAAACTTTAATTCCAAACTGTTCTACTAAGTTTCAAGAATGTTCTTTAATTGAGTCTAGAAAATTTTTAATGAGCATCCCTTGTAAACCAAGAGCTGGGGAATACAAAAAATGAATGATCATTTTAATCATGTATGAACAGACAATTATAATACACTATGATGGGCAATGCTACATAGGGCAATGAAGGGATTTGGTGGTTTTCTTTGTTTGTTTACATATACTGAAAAATAAAAATCCCTGAAATATTTTAACAGGCAACAAAAATGAAGGAAGAAAAAACATTATTTAGGGGAAGAACAATGAATAACAGCACCATGTTTTAAAAGCACATGTGCTTGGGGGAATGATAAGGGTATGTGGGATACAGGTGAGAACAGCCAAATTATGATGGGCTTAAAACTCTTTATGGAATTTTGTAAGGCATCAGTAATTTGTTGAAGGTCATAAAGTTACAAGAGGTTGAATGTTTTTAAAAAGATCTAACTGAGACATTACGGAAGTTGATAAAAGGAGGGGAAAGAGCAGCCCTGGGACCCACCACTCTTCACCGTAAAGCTCTTCTCTCACTGCACTGTGACTCTCTTCCGTTCCCATAGATGATGCGGAGATGAACGCATTGGTAATGACATACCCATCAGCCCTCAGCCACATCCCTATTTTAAAACTGATTTTGCACAATAGCTTTTTGAAAGGCCTGTCACTGCTTTAGTGTCGCCTCTGGTCCCACCTCTCTGTGGGAGCTGACATTTTGCTGATACTTCATCAGGCTGGACCGCCTGCCGAGAAGCAGATTGGTAAAGGATATGCATCTCACTGCTGGGAAGGATGGGAGATGTATTATTTAAATACAATTTATTTTATAGCAACTTTAAAAATCAAACTGAGGATTGTTTCGGAGAGGTTGGAAGTATATTATTGCACCTCACCTCTTTGTGCCTGGTGATGCTTAACACTCAAAACTGTTCTAATAGTTTTTTGTTGTTTTATCTTATTTTACTTTACAAGTGTTCTTTTTTCTACCTTAGGTAATCATCTTTTTTTTATATAACAGTATGTCAAAAAGGAGATGCTAGCCCTAGTTTAGGGTAGGTATGTTACAGGAAGTTGGAAACAGCTTAGAGGTTGTTGGAGGGGCCACTTGTTTCCTCATGATCTGAGTTAATACTCCAGTTACATGAACTGAGAGAAAAAGGATAAGGGGTATGAATCTACACATAAAGCAATGCAATGATTTTTGGTCCATTTTTTGAATCTCAAATCTATTAAGCTAAATAATTTTTGTTCCGAAAATAAAATAGACTAGCTTGATAGCAAATTTTTTGTTGGTTGAAGCTATTTGTTGGTTAATTTAATTCAACCCAAATGTCAACTTAGTCACCTGCTTAGAAACAGGAAAAATCAACACCTGAAAAGTTACAAATTCTTAATATTAAAACGGAAATTAAAGATTAAATCATTCAGATTTCTAGGGTTTCCCTGATAGCTCAGTTGGTAAAGAATCCACCTGCAATGCAGGAGACCCCGGTTTGATTCCTGGGTCGGGAAGATCCACGAGAAAGGGATAGGCTACCCACTCCAGTGTTCTTGGGCTTCCTTTGTGGTTCAGCTGGTAAAGAATCTGCCTGCAATGCAGGAGACCTAGGTTCGATCCCTGGGTTAGGAAGATCCCCTGGAGAAGGGAAAGGCTACCTACCCACCCCAGTATTCTTGCCTGGAGAACCCCATGGACTGTATGGTCCATGGGGTCGCAAAGAGCCGGACACGACTGAGCAACTTTCACTTTCATTTTCAGACGTCTAAGAATTTTCAGACTACAATTATTTGCCAGCCACTGGTACACTGGAGCTGTTAATACCAGCTTGGAAAGCCAATGGTTAATTTGCAACCTGTTAAATTTGGGGGAATTTTCTGAGACAGTTGACATCACATTGGTTGCTTAAAATCACCTTGGTGGGAATATTACACAGGAAATTGTCAAATGAACCAAAACAGGGTTTTTATATTTCAGAGAATCAGTAGTTAAACATTTATCAGTTTGTTTACAGAAGGTTCACACCTGTCTTTATTAGGGTTTTCATGGCACTTAATGATTTTGACCTTCATCATCTCATGATGAATCATCATTTCATGATATTTGATCATATTTGATAAAACTTGTTTGATCATATAACGTTTAAAAGTTGTATTTGGAATTGGTATCTCCCTGCCTGGGGCTTTCCAGGTGGCACAGTGATGCCAATGCAGGTGATGAAAGAGATGCAGATCGATCCCTGGTTTGGGAAGATCCCTTGGAGTAGGAAATGGCAACCCACAGAAGTACTCTTGCCTAAAAAATTCCACGGACAGAGGAGTTGGCGGGCTACAGTCCATGGAGCTACAAAGAGCTGGACACAGCCAGGACGGCGCACACACACACACACACACACACATCTTCCTTTCAGTATCTTCTCCCTTATCCTTTTCTAATTTTCTCTTCTTCAGAGTGAAGGGGTCTGTTTTGTAAACACTCATAAGAAATCATGGCGGAATTTAGAGAAGTAATAACAATGACCGAGGGAAAGAAAATGGGATTTCTGAAAAAACAGAAGTGAAGTGTCCAGAGGAAACATTTACTAATTTTTTTAAAGCATTTTAGTGGTATTGTCAAGTTATGCTCAATATCCACCTCATCTGAAACAGGAGAAAACAATCTTAAAGAGCAACAAGATCAATTGGACTGAAGAACACACATCTTCAGTATAGGGGACAGGAAATGGCAACCCACTCCAGTGTTCTTGCTGGAGAATCCCAGGGATGGGGGAGCCTGGTGGGCTGCCATCTATGGGGTCGCACAGAGTCGGACACGACTGAAGCGACTTAGCAGCAGCAGCAGCAAGACCACCAGATGATACTTTAAGAATAGACAACTATCTTATGTGTTTAGTGTGTGACTGGTCTGAAGATGATACATTTTCTCCCTTGTAAAGGAGAAAAATAGTTAAGAAGTATACATGGGAAAGACAGAAATGTAAAAAGGAGAAAAATATTCACTAATAGTCCTTAGAGATGGCCATTATTAATATCTGCTGTCCTTTCTACTACAATTTCCCACACACATACATGTGTACAGGTTTTTACAAATTTGGAGCATTCTCTATATACAACTTTTAATGTATATTCAATGTCAATTCTCCCAACGTTACACATTCATCCAAAACATGAATCTTAATGGCCTCAGAATAGTCCACTGATGTGTTATAGGATTTGTTTACTCATTCTTGCTCTGCGTGGCTACTTAGGTTACTTTTATTTTGTACTTTAGCTAGCAGAAATAATACTGGAATAAAGAAAAAGCTGGGATCACTTCTGAGATTATTTGGTAACAGGCCTGATATATGAGACTAAACCTTCATAGAGATGGTACGCTCTCATCAAGGGTGTGAGTGTCTATTCAACCATAACTGTCACTAACCCTGATACTGGCTAGCAAGAAGAAAGAAAATGTATTGTCTACCATAATTCAGATAGTTTTCTCACACAGTGAAAGCAATTCTTTTAAAAAGGAATTATTTTGCCCAAGTATTTGTACTTATAACTTCTAATAATTGGAATTTATATAAAGTCAATATCTTTAGAAATGCTTTTGTCTCTCCTACCTTTAAAACATATACCTTGTGTAGCCTCCAAGTATTTTTACAGTTCATTATGCAGAATAACTAAGTTTTAAAATTCTGTAAGCACAATTTTCAGAGTATTTATAAAAATATATATGCGTTTTTTCAAACATAAACCCCTTTTTAAAATGCCACACACATTTCTTGTGGAGTACATGAAGCATTTTTAATGAATCCTATGCTTTGTTTCCATTAATTTTCCTAAATATCCTATTAGGATTATTACATAATTTGTGTTTCTATCTGTGTGTATAAAATCAGACAATAGCATATAACATTAAAATTGAACTGGTCTAGAAGTTGGGGAGTATTTTTGCCTATCCAAATCAATTTATTATCTCATGTATCAGATTGCCAATAAAGTTAGAATTGTCACCTAAAAATCTCTTGGGACTTTCATAATATATTCTCCTTGGTTTTTAAATCTTCGAATGGAAGATAGCTGTAACATAACTATTAAAATTAATATTTTAAAGAATGAACAGTTTATCTTTCTCTCTCCTTGTTTCTAAATAGTCTATTTATATCACCTAACAATTGAAACAGATATATCACTATCTGTTTAATAATTATTTCATTAAAATTGAGTTAGACAAGAGGAAATGTCATTTCACTTTGGAAATAGCAAGCTACTACCTTTTGAATATGTAAATTATTACCTTTAAGCTTTTTTTAAAGGAAACAAGTAGGTTAGGGATAGCCAACTGCTGCACTAGCAAAATTTATACCTTTTGAAAGGCCGTCAACAGTGCCAGAATGACAGTCCTAAAGTACAAATGATCTAGTTATATCTAGAAAAATCATCAGACAACAACCTTGTTCTATCACTCTTGCTTGAGGGTTATCCTTGGGGGCAGTCATGCATTTTCCCAAATGATCAGATGATTAGTTAAGTGCTAAATACTACCCTAATGTTACACTTTATATTTACATTTAAGTTTCCGGTTTTATTTCCTTGTTTGTTTATAGAAAATTCTAAGCACTAGCAGCTAATTCAGATCAATGCTCACATCTCATAACATCATAGACAATCCAAACACTAGACTTTTGCTAACCTTGATCAGAAACATTTGAAATAGTAACATAAAAATACCGTCCTTACCATCCAGCCCACAGCTTTTCTCAAGTTTTCAAGTAACTGTTTCATGGTGGATGAAGTAGAAAAGGCAATACAGGCAGGGTTAACAGAGGTTATGTAAGAATTACAAGCAGAAAAGGAGATAGCAAAGTAGTATTTCTACACAATTTGAAGCAGATTCACTTTGACTAATCACTTTTTATCAGTCTCTAATCTGTTCCCACTCTGACAAGAATGAGAAATACAGTCTAGCAGATTTTTAAAGTGCCTTTCAGTATAACTTTAAATAGTATGCTATAATAGATGGGTTCCAAATATCTCCTAGCTTGCAGGTCTTTTGCAATGAGATTTTGCTACTCCTCTCATCAGGAGGCAGAATCTCTTTCTCCTCCCCTTGAATCTGGCTGTCCTTATGACTTACTTTAACCAACAGAAAGTGGCAGAAATAACAATGTGTGGCTTCCAAAGGTAGGCTTTTGGAGACATTGTAGTCTCTGCTTTTCCACTTTTGGATGCTCTTTCTTAGATTGCTGTCTTAAGGCTGTGACGCTTTGAGGAAGCCCAACTAACCTCCAGCCGTTAGGTACGGATGTGAAAGTTGGACCACAAAGAAGACTGTGGGCTAAAGAATTGATGCCTTTCAACTCTGCTGTTGGACGAGACTCTTGAGAGTCACTTGGACAGCAAGGAGATCAAACCAGTCAATCTTAAAGGGAATCAACCTTGAATCCTCAATGGAAGGACTGATGCTGAAGCTGAAGCTCCAATACTTGGGCCACCTGATGCAAAGAGGCGACTTATTGGAAAAGACCCTAATGCTGGGAAAGATTGAGGGCAGGAGAAGGGGGCAACAGAGGATGGGATAGTTGAATGGCATCACTGACTCAATGGACATGAACTTGGGCAAACTCCAAGAGATAGTGAGGGAGAAGAAGGCCTGGCAGGCTGTAGTCCACAGGCTCGCAAGGAGTCAGACATGATTTAGCAACTGAACAACAACAAAGGTAACCTTGTGGAAATGCTATGTACAGGAAAGGCTGGATATCCCTGCTCCCAGCTGATCTACTAGCTAGAAGCAGCCACTAGTGACTGCAGGTGAGACAAGAGGGAGAATCATCTTATCAATCCAAACAATCAAAGTTGTTGTTGGCAGGATTTGGTACCAAATATTGAGATTTTTCAATACAATAGATAATTAAAACATACACTCTCACACTGTAGCTCACAGAGCAGTTTTGAAAAAGCATTTATAAAGCTAGCAACTATAATAACTTTGCTGGTCATCTAGTCTAGGTTAATAACATACATAGGGTACAGGCTTTTCCCATGTAACCAGGAAGACAGTCACAGGTTCCAGTTTCTTTGTTGCACTGACCTCCATTCTCACAGGGTCCACAGAAGAATTGGCATGCTGGTCCCCAGAGGCCATCAGGGCAGGCTTGTAAAATAAAACGAGAAAGAAAGAAAGGAGCTATTTATTACCACCTTGTAATAAATCTCAAGGTGGTCCCAGATTTCTGCTGTTGCCTAAGCGAGTAGGAAAGTGTGTGTGTGTGTGTGTGTGTGTGTGTGTGTGACTGAGCTGCAAAGAAAGAAGCATTCAGCATAGCTCCTAAGGATTTATCACGCTTCCAAAATATTCCATGAAGAAATCAACATGAGGCCATATCTTGTCACTTTGGAAACACACATACAGAGACTGGCTTTTTGCTGAAAACGTGGTTTCTCAGACAGTAACAATGGAAGCAATTTTGATGTATATTTTTGGAGGCAGTTGCACAGAATATGATCTGAAATGAGATGTAATTTATAAAGGAAGCTTGGAAGGTGCAGTGCTTGGGATTTGTTCCACCTGAACCCTCTTTTCCCAGTCTTTGCTTATTTTCTAAGCCAGAATAATCATTCCAGAGGTTTGTAATTTCTGTATTTTATAAGACTGTGCAATGTATAAGGGGGAGACAGAGAGACATGCTGCTTTGTTGAATGTTCCTGAACTAGAAAAGGATGGCTGATACAGCAGGGACCACTGAGGGCTCAGAGGTTTCAGTCTCCACTGAAACCACTGGAATTTGAAACCTGGTGGAAAGCATGCTTTTAACACAGGGAAAACAGTGAGACTTTCTTAAACATGCGATAATTATAGAAAGTTACATAAAACCACATTTGGCTATCAAGTATCTTCAAGTCTTGGGCAGAGCTTCTGAATAACAGAATTATTAATTATTTTAGGATTCATACCATTCTTGGCTATTATCTATTGATCACTTCTTCTGTGCCAAGCATTTTACATAAATTAGCTGACATTTTCTTAAAAATCCCTATATGACATAGCAACTTTATCTCCACTTACATAAGAAACTAAGACTGGGAGAGGTTAAGTGACTTATTCTGGGTCACGGTTAATAAGTAGCAATGTCAGTATTGGAATCCAGAACTGGCTTTTGAAATTGGTGCTCTCAGTCACTACACCCAACTTCTGTGATGATACTACTAGTACTCAGCACTTTTCATGTCAATTAACCGGCTCTTAGGGTTCCATCAGTGTTCAAAATTTCACCAATATGGAACTAGCCTAAGAAAAATCGGTCCTTTTAATGGTGACACAAAGGCTTAACAGGCCTCCTTAGAGAGACTCAAGAGACTTGCTGGGCCAGAGTCCTCCATAGTCAAGTCTGTTTGCACCTGGGGTCCAAAATACGCCAGGCTACAAACTAATCAAAGCAAGGCAAAGACGCTGATTTTTTTTTTTCCTCTCTCTCTTTTTGCTATTTCACAGATTAGTGTAGAAACCAGCTCTACTGCTCTTAAAAGTCATCACTGATGGGCTAAATAAGGCCCGGTGCTGATTATGGAGAGCACTGTTCATTAGTGCCATTGAAACAATTTTAGTCTTTAATTAACCATTCATCTGCAATCTAGACACAGGTCTGGAGTCAAGATTTTTAAAGATATGCCTGGCTCCAGGAGCACTTGGGCTACTTCACTCTTTGAAAAAAGAGAAAGAAGAACAACAGGCCTGATTTTCATCATGAACAACACCTGGAGAGCTTTTCTTGCCTTCATTTTAGCTGCCAATCATGGTGATCCTGTTCACCCGCTCCAGTCTGAGTCATAATTTCATTTTGTGGTTAGACAAAAATATCAGAATTGGACAAAGTTATCTGATTAAAAAATAATATGTTTTCCTGAGCCTATGGTGACCTCTCTATTTTGCTGATTTACATATACTTTCAACTCATTTTCCTTCACAGTGGGAATCTCAAAAGCATTTTCCAATATAGTATATTCAGCAGTTGCTTTGAGAAAATGTTATCAGAATAAATTAAATTTACCCAGGTGTGTATATATGATATTGTCTCCCATGTGTTGACTTCTAGGGTACAACTTCTCTAGTAGGGAAATGAATGAGGGGCTGACTCATAAAATCAGTTGAAGCAGAAGGAGGTTTAGGTATTGGAATGGGACCCACTCTTATACCACGTTCAATGCATTTGTATAATGTCAGCCTCTGTTCCCTCATGTTCTCTTCCTCATTACCTAGAAAGTCACAGTCCAGCTGCATAAAAAGCCCTAATCTCTACAAAATCTTGTTTACATACTCTAGTTCCACAACCAGGTCCACAGCCACAGGTCAACCTGGAAGACCCTTATTCCCTTTCAGTCAGCTTGGACAAACCCTGCAGACCCTGTGAAGATGATAATGTAAGGGCAACGTGTAATATACAAGAGTCAAGGAAAACCTTCCACCCCAGGCCCAGCCTCTGTAAGTGAACCCAATAGTATGACAGTTTCCATTCAAATCTATTATCGCCTCCTGATTTTAAACAAGATTATTTTGGATCACTTCACAGGCAAAAAGTACACTTACCATTAGTTGTGATAACTGTACTTATATGTTCAGACCTGCTATGTGCTAAAAGGAAATAAACACTGTGATAATTTCCCCTAAATAAAATAGTAAGAACTGCTTAATTCATAATGTATAATATGAGAAAAAGAATAAAGAGAATAAAGAATAAAGAGAAAAAGAATAAAAATTATTGAATCATATTTATATATTTATTTAAGAAAATATAGTAATTATTGAGCAACCTCTATATGTCCAGATTGTTTTAGTAGTCTGGGGATACTTTGGTAAAAAATAAATAAATAGCTACCCTTCCTTTGTTGGGACTCAGCTTCCAGCAGGAAGTGTGCAGGCAATAAACATTAGACATAATAATAATTAGAAAATATGGTATGTTAGATGATGGTAAGCACATTGGAAAAATACAAAGTTCAAGGAGACTTGTAGGTTGCAATTTTGAGTAGCGTGGTACTGACAAGATTCACTAAAAAGGTAACACAATCCAATTTGAGAAAATGAGACAGCCATGCAGATGCCTTAGGAGAAGCATTCCATGAGTCCACAATCCAGAGAGAGCTGTTACTAACATCTTGGAATACCTTTTTCCAAATTTTATATGCACCGACACATGCATGTATCTATACATGTTACTTATCATTGGAATTATGCTGCACACAAACTTGTATTTATAGATTTATAAAGAAATTGTTCACAGAGATTTCAGAAAGGAGCGCACTAATAATCATGTTTAAAATTTTCAAAATGCTTCTATGTTTCCACTGCATTCGTTTGAGCTGTCCAGGTTTAGATGTAAAGAAAATGATTCTTTCACTCTGAAAGTTAGCAGCCCTTACTTGATTAACTCAGCTCAAAGAAGTGATTGGCCAGCTCTCATCTTCTTAGGATAAGATTCTCTGCAATGTGATCTTTCGTCCCTTGCTCAAGCCAGCAAGGGGACAGCTAACATCACAGGCTAAGAAGACAAGGTTAAATGGCTTTATTGCCCCCCCGTCTCAGTTTCCTCACCTGTAAATGGGGGATTGATAAACTTTTCCGATTTCCCAAGGACCTGGGTGGGGTGGAGTAACTAATTAATGATCAGAGGGTGCTAAGCCAAAGCTGAGCATTGTTATTAGAGAAGAAAGAAAATTTATCATCCGATTGTACCTCTCTGGCATCTGTTGCCTTGGTAACCAGATTTGCAGGTGCAACTGCCATTTCTGGCACTGCATTCCAGGGTGTTCTCCTCCACGCACTGACATTCTGAAGAGCAGCCAGCTCCGTAGACCCCCTTGGGACAGTCTGCAAGCAGATTGAGGCAAAGCGGTCACCTGAAATCCATGCTTTGTTCCTTTTACATTGTGAGTGCACAGGCATGTAGTTCTGTGGGGCCTGATTATGGGAAAAACAAGGGGATCATCCTGGCTGCCAAAAAAATAGGGAAACAAATGTCTTTCAAATCAAGCAATTCATGTGCTTTTTGGCAACTGGATGTGAACAGTGAAGCCTGAACTACTTAAAAGGCTTTGGTGCTTCTGGGAGAGAAATTGCTTCTCAATGTGCTCCATTGGTGCCTGTAGTTTACATTCTCCAAAGGCTGCTGACGCCTGCCAGGCCCCATATCCATCGTTTTGCAGCTTGGCAATGATAGACAAGCATTGACGGGAAGGCTTGCCATTGTTTTCATTCCCTTTCATTATATGGTAATCTGCAATAATTCTACATCAAGTAGATGACCCAAAACCTTCATCCTGACAGCACCATTATCTTGGCCACATCTTTGGCAAATGGTGCCTCCCTTTCCTTCATCATTTTCCCCGTGCTGTTGAGTTTTAGGTATGCTAGTCAGCACAGGAATTCTAATTTGAGAAAGTCCCACCTTTGCATTCAGGAAAACGTACCATTATCTTAGTTATCTTTTTGAGGAGTTACAGTGCTTCAATTTCCTTTCCAAAATATAACTGACAATTTTTTTTCTCCCACATTAGAGGATTCTAAGGGACTCAAATAAAAGATCTTTCAAGTGCCCTCCAGGCTCAAATTGTATTATATACCTGTATAGGCTTTGCTGTGGAAAACTGCTTGGTAAGAACAAAAAAACCACTTGACTTTCTGATAGATGGAAATTATGAGCATCTGCTAATTTGTGCTATTATTAGCAGAGGTAATCTGAAGTGGTGGTTATAACCCACCACGGAGGGTGGTCTTTGTCTCAGTTACCAGGGACAGACAGAGTTACCCCTTAAAGCAGAACAGAATTATCAACAGGGCCCCTTTTCACTGTTAATAGTATCCTGTTTGGATGATACCTCCTCATCCTTCCTGCATCTTCTAAGTGTTGAGTTTTTTCCTAGACCCACCAACCCCTAGCAGCTTTCAGAGCTATTGTCTTCCTTGAGGTGGACTTCTTGCTCACTCTCCAGTGCTCATTTTCCTAGACTGGTTTCCAGGCCCTACTCTTTCTGGTTCAGCTTGCAGAACAGGGAATCAGTGGACAACTCATACCACGCAATACTTAAATGTGACAATTGAGTATATTAAGAACATAGTACTGGGGAAGGAAAAAAAGGAAAAAGTGGAAGAAGAAATCTTTTGTTGGCAATCTAGCATTTTCTCAGGGTTTGCCATGCATTGAAACATGTCCTCCAAAAATGCACATGTTTAAGTACTTCCTTCTAGTACCTCAGAATGTGACCACATTTGGAAATTATGTCTTTGCTGATATAACTAGTTAAGGTGAGGTCATATTTGAAATTGTGCTGCTGCTGACATAATTCATTAAGATGAGGTCATACTGAAGTGGGCTGGACTTATAGTCTGATATGACTACTGTCCTTATCAACAGGAGAAATTTGGACAGGGGGCACTCACAGAGGGAGAATGCCATGAGAATATTGGAGTTGCTGTCACAAGTCAAGGAGGGACAGGAAGCTAGGGGAGAGAGGCCTGATGCTGTTCCTCCCCTGGTGCCTACAGAGGAATGTGGCCCGCCAGCACCTCGATCCCAGACTTCCAGCCCCCAGAACTATGAGGCAATACATTTCTGTCGTTTACAACACTCAATTCGTGGTACTTCACTGTGACAGGACTAGAAAACTAATGTAGGATTGCACATTCAAGCCTCTTAGGGCCAGGCAAATGGCATTAATAAATGAAGCCTCAAGTCTGAGCAGTAAGACTCCTGAAGACCTGGAATGTGTATGTTTTTTCTAAAGAGGATCACATTCCAAATGCTAACCACCATTGCCACCACCACCATCTGCTTTTTAAATTTTTGAGCAGATGAGTTATGATTTGAATGTTTTTCACCAAAATATCTGGTATTAGCTTATGAAAAGTTCAAGAATTATTACTCTAAAATGTGGTGAATCCTCTTACTTTGGAACAATAATGGAAATGATGCTATCTTTGTTTCTGGGTTTGTTCTAGGAGGTATCCAATGCTTTGGGATACACCGTCAGCACCTGCATTGTTCTCATTTACCCATGTCTTCTCCTCTGGTTCTCTGTTCCTTGTCTATACCTTTTCTCATGCTGTTGCTGTTGACTGCTATCATGTCTGACTCTTTGTGACCTCATGGACTGTAGCATACCAGGCTCCTCTGTCCTCCACTATCTCCTGGAGTTTGCTCAAATTCATATCCATTGAGTCAGTGATGCTATTTAACCATCTCAGCCTCTGCTGCCCTCTTCTCCTCCTGCCCTCAATCTTTCCCAGCATTAGGGTCTTTTCCAATGAGTCGGCTCTTCCCATTAGGTGGTCAAAGTTTTGGAGCTTTGCACCCAGGCTTGTTTTTCAATGAAGCCTTCACTGGCTCTCTTATTGGAGAATTCACTACTTATTCTGTTTTTAAGGGGTATGCCTTTTCCAAAATAGATAAGGTCCATGGACATTCAACTAAAAATACAACGTAGGACTCTAAAAGGTCTCTGATATTTTAAATAGGTCATGGTATTACTGAGGTTCACTCAGGAAGGATTTTCAAAGGTGGGACTATGGAATAGGTGGGAGAGTGAGGTGCAGACTGTTTCAGGTTCACAAGGACTTGCACAGTCTCAAGGTGGGATGTTAAGGTGGGCACCCAGAGCTGTTCCAGTAGGAGAGAGCTTAGAAGTTACTGATGAGCTGAAACACGTACTGGTGATTGTGTTTTCTTGCACCTTTGGCAGTATGTAACTGCTGGTCACAAATGCAAACTGAACAGCATGATTTAGACATTTTAGGGAATTTTCTTTTGCACTAGAACTCAGTGTATTGGACTTTTGATGTTTAATTTCCATAAAGTGTGGAATGTCCACTTAAATGAACTATTAACATCTTCCTCTCAATAATTAAGGTAAACACTAACTAGTAAAAAGACTTCAGAATATTTTTTTCACTCATCAAAATATAGATTCTATAATGTAAGGAGGCTAAATAAAGACTAAAACAAAAATTGTCATATGTATATAATATGACTGTATAAAATACACTATGCTTTTTACTTTCTTCCTTTGTCTGATGTAAATAAAGAACAAAGATGTGCTGCTCACCATTTTGTTCCACAAGAGTTAAGTCCTAACCCATTGAAGCTGCTTATGAACAGTAAACTCTGAGAAATTCAGGATGAAAAACAGGATGAGGCACTCTGTGCTTTGGATAAACATGCCCTTAGATGGTTAGATGCATATCTCAGGAAGAATTTCAAAGAGCCAGATTCTTTTGTCAACATGTTCATATATGTTGATATATATGTTTATATATATATACACACACTCAGACATGACTTAGCAACTGAGCAACAACATACATTTTTTTAGTAGAGTCTTATTTTTTTTTAAATTACCTTAAAATATTTACAGAGAGATGGATTTATATAACTTGGTGATAACACTAAAAATGTATAGGGTATTTCATATTATTGCACTTCCTCCTTAATAATATATAAGGCATTTTACTTTACATAAATAAATAATAATGTATAATATCACACATCAGGTGCGGCACCAATGAAGTCAACCCTAAAATTAGATGAGATGAGTATGGGCAGCTAGTGAGTGCATGTGCACTCAGCGCTTGTCATGTCTGATTCTTTGTGACCCAGTGGACTGTAGTCCACCAGGTTCCTTTGTCCATGGGATTCTCCAGGCAGGAATACTGGAGCGGATTGCCATGCCCTCCTCCAGGGAATCTCCCCAACTCGGGGATGGAACTCGTGTCTCCTGCATCTCCTGCATTGCAGGTAGATTCTTTACCCACTGAGCCACCTGGCAAGCTCAAGGGAGGATACAGATATATATAAATAAATTGGCTTCTCCCTTACTTCCTTGGAGCAGTTTCCTCAGAACTGAGTGGCTGTCTCCTGGGCTCTAGTCTTCAGCAAGACCTTAATTAAAACTTAAGTTCACAACTCTAATGCTGGATGTTTCTTTAAGTTGACATTAAATATTTTCAGTAATTTTCTGAGCTTTCTTGCTTCACACACAGAGAAAATTTAGTGCCATAGACTTACTCAAATGACAAAACCTCCCATAGCGCCCTGGCTCGCACACACAGGCTCCATATACCCTGTGGCAATGGCCATTGTTGGCACAGTTACATTTCCTTTTGCAATTCTTCCCAAAGAATCCTTTTGAGCATCCTGGAGGGTAGAAAGACAAACAAAGTGAATATTTGCACACATGCAAACCTCACTAGAGCTATTGTTATGTAAGATAAGGAGACTGCAAAAGGTAAGATGTTTCTAATCTGATTAATCAAGAGACTAAAGAGATCTTTTAAAAACTACCCCTATGATTTTATATCATTTGCCCCAAATTCTGCAATGACTTGCCATTGCTGTCAGGTTAAAAACTCCAAATGTAACAAGAAATGAGCCCCTGTGCTGGCTGACCTTACGTTGCACTAGTATCTGCCTGACTTAGGCTCCATCAGCAGATCCCTCTCAGGCACCCCTAAATCACCCCATTCTTTCTCCCTTGCGAGTCGGGTCACATGTGGCCCCCTGAGTCTGCAGCGCTCTTCCTGCTCTCTTGCCTGGCTTCATGTTTCCTCATTTTGCATGCTTCTGCTTAAGGGTCACTCTCTACAAGTCGTTCCTGGCTCACACAGTCTGCATGGCCCTCATGGTTCAACCTCCAAGCACACGGCAAGATTTAACTTGAAATACCTACCAACATGTGTAACCTGTCTGCTTTGAACAAGACTATAAGTTCCATGAGGAAGGGTCAGGGTCTGTTTCATTTTTGTTTTCTTAACATATCATAAAGCCTGGCTCAGTGTCTTGCAACACTTAATACATATATTTGAATAAATGAATAAAAATTGGGGGATAAATAACTAGGGTGTGAGCACGAGCCTTCCTGCACCTCTCAGAGAGCAAACTAAACGTGGTTTTTCTATCTCCCCAGTTCTACAATCTGTGAAATCTAATAAACTCTCCATGATTTCTGGCAATCCCTGAAGAGTTACATCTTCATGACTCTCTGCCTTCAGCTCCTGGGACTGGACAAGCAGTTTCTTTTTGTGTGTTTTATCAGCCCATGTAGAAAATGTGGTTTCTTGATTGGTTTCTATGAAAAATCCACACACAGCACTCACTGGATGGGTATTTTGTAAGTTTTTCGTGCATCATTTCTCCTCTCTCTCTCCTCTCCTTTCTTTTTCTGGTTTTTATCTCACATCCTCCCTGATTTGTCCAAAGAGCTTCATTTTCTTCTTTCTTTTAGTATGCAGAGCAAATAAATTATCACTCCAGCTCCTGTGTGCAAACCTGCACACACAAACTCAACGCTTTGCTCAGTGGATGAGACAAGGCTTTATCTGTATCAGGATTCATCCTACTTGGATCACAGCTGGAGATTTAAGTACCACTTATTTTGTTCTGTTATGCATTTATCAGTCAAAGCAATTGTGTGCTCTTGTGTATACATATATATATATATATACACAGCCCTTTATGTCTTCAGAAAAGCCCACCTTGAAAAATACAGACTCAGCTTTTATTCTATTTCTTATTAGAAACCTCAAGAACTTAAAGAGTTGTCTCACTAGGACCAGACATTCCTACCGTCTCCCAGGTTTTCCCATGAACCCCTGGGGGGCACTTGCATCGCCCAGTCAGAGGGTCACAGGTGCCTCCATTCTGACAATCACAGATGTCATCATACTCTCCCACACTGGTCTCTGGGGAACGAGCTATGAAGAAAACAGTGAAGGTGAATGCGCAGTGTAATACCCTCATTGCGACACAAATAGAGAGGGAAAAAAGATTGTCTATTAGAATTGATTCTCGGTAATTAAAATCTCTGTGACTTGCAGACGCAGGAGGAGTCTCTGGCCTGTTCATCATTCCTGGGGGAATTACTGGTACAGGTAGTTAAAATGATGCTGACTAAAGAACTGCTAACAAGGTTTACATGCAAAATTTACCTTGCTCCTTAAACTCTTACCCTCACATTTTCAGAACTACGTAAACATTTTTGTTGTATAGATGTCACTAACCCTAATAAGAAACAAATTGCATCTTCCATTTTGAAAAATAGGAAGAAAATGTAGGAAAGAAGAGCCATGTGTTTTTAACCAGAAATGAATGTAACTAAGACTATCTTGTGGATTCCAAGGTATTCTGCACCATCAAAAGCTGATGAAGACAAGCAATTGTTTTCTTTGGTTTGCTGTTTTTGGGGGAAGTGCTATTCCATTAAAAATTAACACAGTGTGGAAAATGCCTATGATTTTAAGCTTGAGTAAGTACAGCTGTTGAGATAATTTCAGTAGCCATTTAAATTGACATTTTATCATCATTGGCTAAATACTATAAAACTACATTTTTATTACCTCCTCTATCTACCCCCCGTACACCATTCCAGATGCTAATATGGAAACTTGATTTCTAACTCACTTTTTTCTTTGCTTTCAAGCCTGTGGTTACTATGACAAGGAAAGGAACAGGAAAGGGGAAAAAAAGGAGTAATAAAGAAGTAAACTGGCAACAAACATGGTTGAGACTTGCATTACTAATTTACATGTAGTAACTCATTGAATTTTTATAGCAACTAAAGACTACACATTTTAAATATATATACATCTGGAAAATGAAGCTAAGAAAGTTTAAGTAGCTTGCACAGTATCTGGGTTACAGCAAGGCATCTACATCAGCACACCAACACTATCACTTGCTTCAGTTCAGTTCAGTCACTCAGTCATGTCTGACTCTGCGACCCCATGAACTGCAGCATACCAGGCCTCCCTGTCCATCACAAACTCCCGGATTTTACTCAAACACATGTCCATTGAGCCGGTGATGACATCCAGCCATCTCATCCTGTGTCGTCCCCTTCTCCTCCTGCCCCCAATCCCTCCCAACATCAGGGTCTTCTCTCCCACAAAAAGAATATGGTATCACAGAGTGTGTGCATGCATGTGAGTGCTCAGTCATGTCTGACTCTTTGCAACCCCAGGGCTAGGCTCCTCTCTCCAAGGAATTTTTCAGGCAAGAATACTGGAGTGGGTTGCCCTTTCCTAATCCAGGGGATCATGGATTTGCTAAATACTTCATTAACATCAAAGAGAGCATTTATCTAGAGAAGAAAACTTGAAACCAAACATGTCCCAAACCATAGCTGGATGATTTGGAAAAAGTCATGAATCTTCCCTTCCATGTAATACATAGTCCATTCATTTGTTATATGAAAATACTTTAGTCTTCTCTTTCTACTGGATAGATCCCTCAGAATAACAAAGAAGATAGTCAATATGAAATCTCTTTAAAAGAAATGGAGTCCTAAAGTGTGCTGTTAAAATTAATATGTAGTAATTTTTTAGTTGTTTCCTTTGTAACTACTTGGAGAAATTCCTAAAACATCCAAGTAGACGTTTTCATTATAGACCAATAAAGATACTGGGTTAGAAGATCTAACCAATGGGAAAACTAACTTTCCAGATCCCTGAAGAAATTTTTGTATGTCTCTTGCTGCATAAGAAGAGCTGGTACTCTTAGAAATATTAGTGATGAATGATTGGTCATTTCCATTTTTATAGTTTATAGGGATTTTTAAGAAAATATCCTCACTCTCCCTTTTTGTTAAAGATTTAGTGATCATGCTTTTTTCCTTTCCAATTTGGATTGCTCTGTTTTAATTTTTATAGAAAAAAAAAATGAAAGAGCCAGAGAGGTAATGCAAAGAAGATATAAATTTCTGCTTTCAGGGCCAGACTATCCTTTACAGGACCATGTGAACACTTAAAGAATCTCAAGTTTTTCCAAAACCAAAGAAAGGGTTGTGTTATTTTCATTTTATCAGGAAGTTCATTTTCAACATTTGTATATTAACTTTGTGTCAGACATGTTTTATTCTCATGGATTTGCAATAGATTTCTACTTTTATTTCTCATGCTAACATGTTATGGATCAAGGGTGTGGAAGACACATATTTACCAACAAAATTTACAAAAAGGGGTATGAACATTTACTTCCTAATAGTCATGCAACAAGATTGATTTGTGTGTGTGTGTTTAGTCGCTCAGTGGTATCCGACTCTTTTCAATCTTATAAACTGTATGTAGCCTGCCAGTCTCTGTCCATGGGACTTCCCAGGCAAGAATATTGGAGTGGGTTGCCATTACTTTCTCCAGGGGATCTTCCCAACTCAGGAATCAAATCTGTGTCTCCTGCAGTGGTAGGCAGATTTTTCATCACTGAGCCACCTGGGAAGTCCCAAATTTATTTGATCCATTTTATATAGTTGACTATATCAAGTGGCCGATCAGTATAGCTGGATGTCTCAATACAAAGCTTCATTCATTCATGCACTGGAGCCTCCAATTTGGAAACATGTAAATAAGCTCCCAAGCTAGCAAGGGAAATAGAAGAGGAGCATAGCTAACTTGAATCTGATGGAGACAGACAGACAAATAGACAAAGAGGAGAGAGAGAGGCTTTAAACCCACTAGAAACATAAACGGCTGTTAGACTAGGGCCATCAAATAAAGCTTCATGCCATAAATGGCAATGGACAAAGATGGCAGTTTAGCAAAAGGCACAAAGCTGAAAAGTACAAAGCATTAAGTAGTGAGTAGTTTAGTTTGCTGGAAATAATAAACTGGTCAGATCTGTGGATAAAAAGAGAGAAGGATTTATGAGGGCCTGATAATAGATGGCTGTCAGTGACTAGATTAGAAGTGTAAGCTTTATGTATCAGGAAATGGGACACTTCTGAAGCTGTTTGGGCAGCAGGGAGACAAGATCAGAGTGATGCTTGAGGAAAGTCCTCAGCAATCTAACTAGTAATTCTGGGGAAACCACTTCACTATGTTATAATCCAGGTTTTGCTTCTTTTATATTTCATAATAGAAACAATATTTTTGCTCTTTCTTCCCATATTCAGGGGCTTCAAAAGAAAAATCTGCTCATACCATCTTCCAAGCCATTCACAAAGAAAACTCTTTTGTTAAAAAATTTATAAGAGAAATTTAAAAAGAGAAAAAGGAAATAAAGGTAGTCAATAAATTTGAGTTTTATTACTTGGCAGTTTTAGCACCTGCAAATATACCTCCCTTTAAAATATAAAGGAAAACATTTATTGGAGGTATTATTGTACAAATCACTGACATTATCTCATGAGAGGCTTATATAAAAATCTTAAAATTGTCATTGCCTGTACTTACATAAGTTTTAAAGAAAAAGATAAGAAAACACAAACAAAAAGGCAACAGTCAAGCAGTTCCACTAACTATACTTCATAACACAAATCATTTTACTTTTTTTTTCTTCACGGGGAGTAGCTTGCCAGGGCCTAATGATTTATTTAAATGGAGGGATTTTTATAGGCTGAGGATATTAGGATCCTTTATTAACTTTCATGTTCAATGGATAAACAAGAGACAGCACATCAAGTTTCCCAGGGAACACAAAATTTCCCATTTTAATCACATGTTCAGTTTGAAACCTCAGTGCTTCACAGACATTCTTTGTGCACAACAAATAAATTGGTTTCCCATCCATATCAACCATTAATCTTGTTAAAACATTTTGGGGAGAACACATGTAAAGAACTCATCACCAGTAGTTCACCAGCAGTAAAAGGAGAATTCATCACCCTCCACCAATGCTCCAAAGCATTACTTACTTTCATTACAAAGAATGCCTCCCCAGCCATCGGGACAGGAACACCCACTCTTTCCTTCCTGGCATCGGCCTCCATTCATGCAGTCCTCACAGCTCAAACTGCAGTCATGTCCGAAGGTGGGATCTAAACAAACTGGAATGAGATGCCGTTTTAGTGAACCCTACATGTGCTATCTACATCACTGAAAATGGAGATGAAACCCTTTATTTACCCCAACAAATAAACATGCTCCTTGAGCACATTTTCTAAAGAGTACAGAAAAAAATAATAAGGCCAAGAGATGCCTTTTAAAACAAAGCTTGGAATGTAATCCCTAAAAAATATTTAGGATCTTTAAGAAAGTAAAAAAAAAAAAAAAGAAAAAAAAAGAAATTACCATTGATTTCTGAACACAGAAATAATGTTCCCGGCACTTTAGTGTGTGTGTGTGTGTGTGTGTGTGTGTGTGTGTGTGTGTTTTCTTCTAGGCTTTTTTATACAATTTTTTTCTTTTTTTTCCAAGTAAGCCTTTTTACTGAGATTTAATATACAGGTAAAGAAATGCACAAAATTCAAATGTACCCTTCAGACTTTTCCCCCACATTGTCAACAACCCCATGTAAAAGCCTCTCAGATGAAGATAAAGATTATTACCAGCATCACAAAAAATCAAAGGTGATTTGATGACTCTTAATCATTAGCCTTACAAATTAAGCACCATTGTGATTTATACTGCCATGGAATATTTCCCCTTATTTTTGAACTTTATATGAATAGAATCGTAAGGTATGTACTCTGGTATCAAGCTTCTTTCATTCAATATAATGTTTATGAAACTCGGCCATATTGTGGGTTCACTAGTTTTTAAGTTTTGCCCATTTCACAATGGGGTCTTTCAGATGTCCCAGTTGAAAGCCTGTCATGTTTAGCGAGGTTTCTCCACCTTGGCAGATTCTGAATTTCAGTCTGCCTCCTAGCATCACAAAACTGCTGGTAACTGTGCTAAGCTCCTCACACTCTTAGTAGCTATCTATAGATTTCCTGGCTTCTCTGTCTGCACTGCCCATGCATTAGCAAATGGCTCAAGGAGAAATGTAGCACAGACTGTCCATCTCACTTGTCTGAATGTCTCTTCTCTCTAGACCTTGGCCCTCAAGTCCTAACTGCCCTGGTAGCCCTGAACTATTTCAGTTGTGACTTTCAGTAGCCCAAGTATCAGAAGCTTGATTAAGAAACATTAAAGCATTTCTATCTTTATGTAGATGCAATTACTGATGTTATGTTTGACCATCACATATAAACAAATCTTCATATTACTGGAAGCATTCTAAGGCAATCATTAAGCTTTGATGCTCTGAAAATACGAGGAATACAGGAAGAACAAAAAGAGCAGTCCTGTCTTACAAAGAAAAGAAAAAGCAGCAGCAGGCTGGCTGCAAACTGTTACTTTTGAAAGAAGTTATGCTAATTTATTTTGATCAGAAGTGATTTGATGCTTGAGTTCTGTTGAGTGGATATATAAGAAAAACTGTGCACATTTGTAAAGATATTTTTTCCTGGTTCATTTGAGCATACTGAACCATTGGTTCTCTGCATTTTAAAATTTAAAAAGGATCTAGATTTTCAGGCTATTTGAAGTAAATTTTAACTATACAAAAATGACTTCTAGTTGAGTTTAAACTGTTAGAATTAAAAGGCCCCAATCCTTGTCTCCACGATGCTAATTCAAATATATTTTTCAACTCCATTTCACTGTATCAAATTTCCATCACTCTGCATCCCCTTGTCCATTCATACATACATAGCAACCCTTTATTGGCAAAGGGAAGAAAGATAACAGATGATGAATTTGACAGGGAGCTGTGAAGAAGTAATTTTGGTCCCATGTCTCCTGTCAATATCACGTTAAAACACTTTTATTTGGCATTAAATATTGATAACAAAATTGTCTATAAAAGAAATTCTGTGAATTATCTAAAAATAGAGGGAAGGGGTGATTATAATGAAACATGTTCATTTACCCACCAACACTGTGCAAATCAGTCAGTTCTCCTGGAATATCTTGTCCCTCTTCCTCATTGTCTTCATCTTCATAGGCGAGAGGCAAAGAGGTGGCCACATAAGGAAGCAGTTGAGGCGGGCTCTTGAATAGAAGACCCGGAAACCTCACAATGTCTAATTCTTCTTCTTCCTCTAGTTCATCATCTAAAGCTAAGACCACACAGAGAAATGCCTGGATTCCACATGCTGGTTAAAAGAAGGGAGAACTGAGCAAGTGTTGATGAGAGAAATGAGAAGAGTTTGAACTAGATAGCCAAGGCAGGGGGCAGCTGAAAGGTAAAAGTCTTTGAGAAGACCATTTCAAACAGTCTATTGTAAATGAAGGTGAGACACAGCAAGCACAGAGTGGAAACGGCCACAGGGAGAATAAAGGGGAAAAGAAAAGATCTTAGTCTGTGAAGAGAGAAAGGGGAGGACAGGTTGATTTCAAGAATATATGGTCTCCGTGCTCCTGAAGAACAAGACAGGGCTGAAGTCATTTAGAAGAGATTTGATAGAATTCTTCACAGAGACTTACAGATGCAAGTTTTCCCATCACTTCCAATTCGGTAGCCTTCCTCACAAGAACACTCATAGGTTCCAACAGAATTGATGCATAGTTGGTCACAGATGATACTGACATCCAGACACTCATCCACATCTAGGAAAATTCAAACAATGTCTGCTCTTCGGTGTGGAGATAAAATAGACATTATGAACTCATGGGCATATTTGTCACCTCTACTAACCAATGACAAAGTACTGCTATACAAAACGTGTGTGTGTCTGTGTGTGCTGTGTGCTCAGACGTGTCTGACTCTCTGTGACCCCACGGACTGCAGCCCTCCAGGCTCCTCTGTCCGTGGGATTTCCCAGGCAAGAATACTGGAGTGGGTTGCCATTTCCTACTCCAGGGGATCCCCCTGACCCCAAATTCTTCCTCAAGAATATCCTGCCAATTATTTTCCTTTTATTCATTTCCAAGTTTACCATCGTTTATCTATATGCATAGACAATGTCTTTCTGAGATCTCGTTCATAAGATTTTGATGAAGAATTTAAAACTTACATAGTCTCAGGCTGTGTATCATTTAGCAGAATGTTCATTCGCTCTTGAATTATTCAACATCTTTGGCAAAGCATTTACTCAATGCATAATTTTGTACCTGATTTGTGGAGAATTTTAGAGATGGAAAAATCCTAGGTTTAGATCTCATACAACTTACTGGTGTTAAACTCACATCCAAGCCCAGGCTTTGGTCAATGTGTTCATGATTCTAAAAGGTCATTTACGAAACTGAGTTTCTAGGTTGGCCTCAGATTGTAGATACCTTTTCCATTTGGATGTGTGTACCCAAGTATGTATATTCTCGCCATATAATCATCTCTTGGCTCACTCTGTTTAACAGCAGATGGTACATGAAATTCAATTTTTTTTTTGGCCCTGTTAATTGGATGGGAGGTGTAAGTAGTAATATGTTCTACTGTGTTTAGAATATATAGATATCATAGTTGTATGTTCTTTGTTGTTATCGACACTGCAAGGCTGGGGAGTTTGGCATCTATGTGAAGAAACATACCTAGCATCCTCAACAGAATTTAAGAATTTGCTTCTTTAATCCAAGAAACACTATTTTCTCTGGGGCATTAAAGTCTTCATATGGAATTCGACTGTTATTGAAATAGATAACAATATTCTCATTTTTGATTTCAAGAAAAATATGGTTCAAAATAATGGTAATAATGACCACAAATAAAAATTTAAAGATTATATATTTAGGGTAAACTTGGTAAAGTAATTTTTAGCAATGACTTATATGAGCCCTTCACAAAAATGTGAATTTACTAAGTTCAAACTCCTCTATGATAGGGGCCTTCCTGGTGGCTCAGATGGTAAAAAATTTGCCTGCAATGCTGGAGACTTGGGTTCAATGCCAGGGTCACGAAGATTCCCTGGAGAAGGGAGTGGCAACCTACTCCAGTATTCCTGCCTGGAGAATTCCATGGACAGAGGAGCCTGGTGGGCTACATACATGGGGTTGCAAAGAGTCAGATACGACTGAGTGACTAACAGTTTCACTTCACTTTCATTTTCATGATATTATAAAAATTTATCTGTCAGCTAGAAATCCTCTAAAAGGTCAGCAACAAATCAGTTAGAAAATTATAGAATAACTCATCTTGAAGTGTGCATTAGCTAGATTAACATCAGATATATAAAGGAATCTGATACTATGGCTCAAGAACTGGCAATCCTTTTGCTGCTGCTGTCTAATTAAAATGACTTTCAATAATCAACTCAGTTTCCAGTCAAGATTACCATAAGAAACTCCTATAGCATTATGCAATGGCTTGCTGGAATCTCTCACTTGCCTATGTGTATTAAGTTAGGTAAAAGGGATTATGAACCAATGAATATAAAAATAATAGTAATAGTAATAATAATAGCTACTTTTAGTTGAGTGATTTCTTGATGTCAATCACAGTAGTAGGCCCTTTACATTGATTACGTTTCTTAATTTATCCAGTAATCCCATAACTGTCTTCACTTTACTGATGAGGATTTGAGGCTCAGAGCACTTAGTGTCACCAAAGTTCATACAATAGCATGTGGCTGGACCACAGAGATCCAAGTTTCTTTAAGGTGAAAGCCTTTCTCACCCTAACCCTCTGCCTCAGATATTCCTCCATTGATTGCCCCATCACATCACGGATTTCATGTTAGAGCTCAGGAATTTACCATCACATCCACAACCATCAGAACTGATCTGAAAGCCTTCCTGACAACTGCATTCATAGCCTCCTGAATAGTTGATGCAGAACTGGGCACAGCAGGCTTCTCCAGTGTCACACTCATCAAGGTCTAAAAGGGACGAAAGGACATTTTTGTTATTTAAGAGATAGGAATTTAATCCACCTATAGAGATGCTGATAAGCCCCACTTCTAAATTAAAACCATTTTACTAATTATTTTCTATTTCTCAGGCTACAGAGTACAGACACTGAATAAATGATAACACAAAAACAATGAGGCTTGCATTTGGATCAGTGTTTCTGACATGCTTCTCCTATGCCTAGTATTTATTTGAAAAGCATGTAAATAATCTCCAAATGCATTTAAAAGCACAGGAAAAGAGCTCTCTGCTATTTTTCCCGTTTAAACAGCAATCTGGCTAAATAAACAGAGAACCTGAAGAACAACAATTAAAAAAAAAAACAGCTTGAGAAGCAGAGCTAAAATATTCCATTGAATGAATATTTAATGGCTACAAAAAGGAGGCAGTTTTAGGCCCCTATGTGTGTGTTCTTCTAAGAGCTTTGGATGAAAGAATGCTCCCAAGGAAAAGAATTCACAGGACTGGGAAGACAAGTGGTTAAAGGCAATTCAAAGAGAGCACAGACAAGAATCTTAAACATTATGTGTTAAATTACAGAATATTTCAGGGCATTTGCTTGAACTTTTCAATGATACATTGATGGGGATGAGTTTTTACTATAATCGGTGACACTATTACCCTGGAGTGTCCTATCACATAGACAGTTTTCTAAATTATGATCTTTAAGTCTCCTTTGGCACTGTCCTTCTAGAATTCTACAATCTGCCATGTATCTTCCTTTATTTGCCCTAGGGAAAATAAAAATTAATCAGAATAGGTCAAACTGAAACCTTTCAGCAAAGGATAATCTATTTATCCTAAGTTTTGAGATAATCATTTGTAATATATTTGGCTAAGGGGTAGAACAGACTCATCGCCTATTGCCAGACATCTGGAAATTGTGTGGTCAGGGTTTTTGGCTATAGACCTTCAATTCTACCCACTTTGTTGAGCTGTTAAGTTGGGTGGCCTGTCAGTGCTGAGTTTACAAAAATCCCTTTGCTCCATAACTATGTGAACATATATAAAAGATCAGTGTCTCAATTAACCTTGGAAAGGGTATCAATGTAAGAAAAGGCAGACAAGAGAAAGGAAAGAAAATGCACTCAATTAACCATGGTTAGGGGTCACCATAAAATATCTAAATGAAGGTCATTTGGACACAAAACATTCTTTCTCCTGCAAAATGTCACAAGCAGTGCTACTCACAAAGTTCTAGATGATATTTTTTTCTCTTACATTAAAACTTCTGTTATCTTTTGGATTACATAGCATGGATACAGAAGGCAAAAAACTTAAAACTTCAGTTTTTTATCTAAAACATTGCTTTTAAAATCTTTTAAATCTATTTTTTTTAAATTAGAGGATAATTACTTTACAATATTGGATGGTTCTTGCCATACATCAACCTGAATTCACATTAGGTATACATATGTCCCCTCCTTCTCGAACCCCTCTCCCACCTCCCTCCCCACCCTATCCCTCTAGTTTATCAAAGACCATGGGCTTTGCATTCCCTGTTTCATAAACTGAATTCCCACTGGCTATCTATTTTACATATGGTAATGTATTAATGTATATGTTTCAATGCTATTCTCTCAAATATTCCTACCCTCTCCTTCCCCGACTGTGTTCAAAAGTCTGTTCTTTATCTCTGTGTCTCCTTTGCTGTGCTGCATGTAGGAACATCATGCCACCTTTCTAGATTCCATATATATGCATTAATATACAATATTTATCTTTCTCTTTCTAACTTACTTCACTCTGTGTAATAGACTCTAGTTCATCCACCTCATTAGAACTGACTCAAATACACTCTGTTTTTATATCTGAGTAATATTCCATTGTGTTATATGTACCACAACTTCCTTATCCATTCATCTGTTGATGGACATCTAGGTTGCTTCCAGGTCCTAGCTATTGTAAATAGTTGCTGCAATGAACACTGGGGTTAAAATATTACTTTTTAAGTTTTGTGGGGAGGAGTGGTTTCTTTTTTTTTTTTTAAGCCTCATTTTATTTTTATTTTTTTTTCCATTTATTTTTATTAGTTGGAGGCTAATTACTTTACATCATTGCAGTGGTTTTTGTCATACATTGAAATGAATTAGCCATGGATTTACATGTATTCCCCATCCCGGTCCCCCCTCCCACCTTCCTCTCCACCCGATCCCTCTGGGTCTTCCCAGTGCACCAGGCCCGAGCACTTGTCTCATGCACCCAACCTGGGCTGGTGATCTGTTTCACCCTAGATAATATACATGTTTCGATGCTGTTCTCTTGAAACATCCCAAGAGGAGTGGTTTCTTATTTCAAGATTTTTTAAAAAGTCTTCTCATATACCACCAGAGCCTCTAAATACATACATCTCATGATTCCTTATTCTATCTAGCAAGAAGCACAATCACATCACATTAATTGGAAAAATTAGTTCTTCAATCTATCATTTTATGATCCATTTTGGATTCTTCTTCTATTATAATTCCTCTGGGCCTATTTTTTGTCTCATGTGTAGAACTCATTAGAAATCCCATGCTTCCTTTCTTAAAATGCCCTGTCCCTTCAAGCCTTGTATCACTTGTTTTCCTAAATTTCTTGATTCCTTCTCAGATCTTTTCTTGGTAAGATCTTATTTTTAACTCCTCTGCCTCTCTGATGATCATATTTTTCCTACATTGGCCAATATGCCAAATATTACAACACTGCAGAGAAATTCACCTGTAAATTTAAAAATTTAAATTTTTAAATTTAGCCCTGATCAAAAATACATAATCAATTATAGCAAGTAAAAAAATTAAACATTTCAACTATGACTTCAGAAAAGCATCAAAAATAAACCTTGAAAGGACCTGATCTTCTGTATCTGTCTTCCACACAGTCACTGAATAAAGCACCAAAGAGTAGAATAATTTTTTTTCTGATAACTATCAGTTGTTAAATTTAGTGAACTTATTGCTGGTGAGACACTTGTGTTTTTTGTGTAGCTGTCTTTCAAACTGTGTTAACACATCACTAGGTTTTATCCTTAATAAATGCTTCCATTTGGGCAAGACTGACCATTTGCAGACTAGATGACTTATCTTCACATTTATTTATATGTTCTCATGTAAGAAGAAGTTGATTCTAAAATAAGCTAAAAAGGAAATTATTTCCTCTCATGCATGAATGTTTTTACAAAGCATTCATGCCTGTAATCTGTTCTCAGGCAAGTAGGCAGACTATGTATATGCACACTCCAAACAAATCATTGCCTTTACTCTAGAGAATATTTGGTTTTTAGGAATGAGTGTTATTTATTGGAAATGAAATAAACTTGAGCCATCAACTAAATAATGTCGTCATGTTGACTGCTGAAATCTCATAAATATGCAATTTTCTATATTTTGACCCTGGCAGATGCAATTTTTTCTGGCTGTAAATATGAACTTTACCAAATTGTACTTTTCAAAGAATCAGGAAAGATATCAAATTATAAGGTGCAAACAAAAGGCTTAACAAAATTCCAGTTTCCCTTACTGAACAGTCACAAGGAAAGGATAAGAAGGAAGGGAGGGAGGGAAGAAGGGAGGAGGGAAAAAAGAAAAGAAGTTCTTAATTTTTTCCAGAGATCCAAATGTTAGCAAGGTAGAAATCTATAAGCATATTTTTCATTACATAAGAAGGTGCAAGGCAAGCAACTGGCTTCATTAAGCTAACCACTGTAGACTCTGAGAAAAATGCAGAAGATGATGTTGGATTAAGAAATAACAAGCAAAGACATTGTTTTGGTTTAAAACTTTATGAAACCCAAATACTTTAAAATCCCTTAAAGTTCACTCTGTCACATTAGTGCCAAACTAAAAAAATCCCAACAACTTAGGTTTTTGAAATTCACCTCTTCACTTATGGTACTTCAATTTATTTTGAACCACACTGAATAGCATTAGATGGTCAATGTTTTTTTTTTTTTTTTTGGTACTCATAATTTTTAAGAAAGGTGATATAAAATATCACAAAAGAAAACATGCAAATAGGGTATCCTAATTCTCAAATGATGACAAGTTGTTTTAGAGGCTTGTAGGTGCTCTCAGACCCAGGGCACATAGTAATTTAGTTTGATGTTCATGTTCAGTAGTTCAGTTGTGTCTGACTCTTTGTGACCCCATGGACTGTAGCCCGTCAGGCTCCTCTATCCATGGAATCTTCTAGGCAAGAATAGTGAAGTGAGTTGACATTTCCTTTTCCAGGGCGTCTTCCCAACTCAGGGATCAGACCCGAGTCTCCTGCACCTCCGGCATAGGCAGGCGGATTCTTTACCACTGTATGACCTGGGAGTCCCCACGTATTGCGGAGTGACTTGTGCGGACACCTGGCCAGGCCGAGGTCTGTAAGGTCTGTAGGAAACTTCACCTTGGGAAGTCTGCTATGTAAATAAAGGAAAACACGCTCTTTCATTCAAGAGCTTTTTAAAAAATGCAACAGTATACCAGGCAAGTCTGAGGCATAATAGCTGCTTCTAACAATAGGGAGGCTGAGAAAGAGGGATAGAGTGATGTTGGGGAAATTTCTTGCAGGAGTAGGAAAACTAGAGATGCTCGCTCTCCCAATTTTTGGTAGATATTCCTTTTTCTCAGAAGTTCTAGATTAAACATTTCACTATGAAGCAAGCTGGGGTGGAATTTACTCTTCTCATTGTCTCCTGTGATATGTTTTAATAATATGTTGAAAAAGTTATCTTTTCCGATGGCTTTGAGCTGGGTTTTCCAAAGAATAACATCTTCTAAAGTTTGATTTTGGACTGTAGCTACCTGCCATGTCAAAGTTGAACATGTACCCAAATTAACACCAAGTTGAGAACCAATGAACATGATTTGCTTCTGCTTGAGGTGGAAAGAATTAGGATGGCAGCATTTGTTTTTTGAATTACAAATTACATTAGATGGTTAGATAAGCCTTGGAATATTTTCCAGAAAGAAAACTGTAAAGTCACATATATCACTAATAAGTTTTAAATCTCCTTTAACTTCAAAGTAAGTATCTTGAAACACTATGATATCTTAGTAAATAAATATTTCTTTTACATTATCCAGTAGCCAAAAACACTGTTCATTTTACTTGTAGTTTGAGATTTGTGGCTACATTACAGCACCAAGTATTAGAGAAGAAAGGGCTAGATGAATCCAGGGCAACCTCTGAAGGAAGATAGCATCCACCATACATTACCTATGCATGTTTTCTCATCTGAATCGAGCCGGTATCCATGGTTACAGGAGCATCGGGGGCCCCCCAACTGCATGTTCACAGTGATGGGAACAACCACCATTGTTCTTTTCACAGCTATTGACAATTTCCAATTCAACCCCTTTCCAAAACAAGCAAAGGGAGCATTATTAGCATAACAATAGAGAAATATGAATACATGGCAATAATGGGTACACTCTCTCTCTGTTGGGAAGAGGACAAACTTTATTGGAAATTTGTCAACACTCTGAGCATATAAAAGTTTGAGAACTATTAAGCATTGTACATATCTGACACTGAAATGAAGTGGTTCAATCATGTTCAACTCTTCGTGACTCCATGGACTGAGCCCTCTAAGGCTCCTCTGTCCATGGAATTTTCCAGGCAAGAATACTGGGCAGCCATTCCCTTCTTCAGGGGATCTTCCCAACCCAGGGGTTGAACCTGGTCTCCTGCATTGCAGGTGGATTATTTACCATGTAAACCACCAGGGAAGCCCTGTACATATTTATATCATATCAAAATAATAATAAACCTATAAATAATATTAAAATGACAAGGTAATACAGAAAGGTAATGAGTCCACCAGTGGCTATTAAACACATCTTAAAGGATACTTCCCTATGGCAATTTTTGGTATTTTCAGAGTGTAAATATATATGTGTGTGTGTGTGTGTGTGTGTGTGTATTGAATCAATGATCAGAATGCAAATAGTTCGCCAGTTGACATATCTGTTCTCAAACTAATGGTATGTTAATATGTGCCCCTTTCCTAGGCTCTGAGAACTGTTAAAAATGTATGGAACAAAATAATGGAACAAAAGTATGAACACAAAACCTGTGAGTTAGCTGATTATATGTAACTAGCATCATGTTTATAGCTATGATGTATACAAGAGTCATTTGGTATATAAATATCCTATTAATGCAAACACCAATTTGCTGATTGTGGTACATGCCACTAATTTGGGGCATTCGAGGGGACATCCACCTCAATATACAGATGCCAATTTTCCTGAGCACACGGGTATTATAATCAATCCTTTTCTAAGTGAGAAAGTGAAAAATAAAAGCATGCTTTGAATCATTGTGAAAAATACAGAATCAGATACTCTGCTATTTTCACCATTGGTCTCTATTGTTCCTCATTTGTGTTGCTTGGACACACCACTAATGAGAGTGACTACCTTGGTTCATTTCCTTTCATTTTTACCTCCTGAATCCTTTGAAAGAAGAAAGATGGGCAAGAACAGAACAAAGGCACGCAGGATTGTGGCATTCTTTGAGAACCTATATTACAATTCACACTGCTGAGGTATCTGCTATTTTTCTTGTATGGTTACAGTACAGAAATCATACTCCCGGATCCCAGCATCCTGTGTAGGGTAGGCAGCAGCCTTACATATCCCAGAGCAGCCAGGACATATCCCTGCCTTTGCGCTCATCGCTCTGTGCCTTCATCATCTTGTATCATCCAGCTCATAACAGATGTTCAAAAATAGGTTTGAATGACTGAATAAACAAAAGAAGGATTATGCTAATCAATTTATTGTTGAAAATAAGAATGCCTTTGGGTTTAGAAACAGCTAGTTTAGGACTGAGCTAAATGAGAAAGCTAAAGGAAAGATTGAAATAATTAAGGGAACTGATATTTTTCACAATATGTTAACATATACTCTTTAGGGAGACATATTTCAAATTTTGGCTCTGATTCTTATTTTTCTCCTGTGATCAATGTGGCTCTAAGATTGCTGGAGATAATTTAGTTTAAATATAAATGGCATTATTATAACCTCACAAAAACTATATGAGGCTAAAACAAGTTCATACTCACCTATAACTTATCACCAGAAGTAAATGTTTTTGATATGGATGATACAGTTAAACTATCATACTTAAAAATATGCTTTAAAAAGTTTAAAAACTGATCCCTGTGGTTTCTCATAGCAAACAATCATTATTTGCTCAATATATTAAATATGCATTAAATGTATATGGAATTTAAGTTCATTATATATTGCCTGGTAGTAGTAGAAAGTTTTATTTAACCATGCTGGATCTGGAATTTTTAAATTTCTAACCACAAGATAGTGATAGTTCATTCATAGAACACATTGAGGATTCAACATTTATGCTATTCAGTATTTTGAGAACTTCTGAAAAGAAATGACATAGGTACAAAATATCATTGTCTTAGGAAAAATTTAAAGCAATATTTGCCTAAAATAGGCTGCTATATGAAGAACACATAATTTATTGTTAAATATGATCATGTTCTGAAAACACTTACTCCACCTACAAGTTTTGAAGCATTCATTTTCACCAAGAAAGTTTAGTATGTCAGTTAGTAAATATTGAGGTCTGGTGAGAGCCACACAAAGAACTTAGCCAAATATTCACATAAGGGAAATAAATGTAAATATACACTTCAACCAAATGAATTCAACTCTAGGGCAAATTGCTTTCCCAAGTAAATTCTACAAAAGCTTGAACCTCACGACTCATTAGCAATAATGGCCCCTTCTTTCATGATAACTGAGAATGCACCAGTCTGATTGCAGGAGTTTTTATTTCAGGCATCTGTAAAATGTCCTCATCTCCTAAACCTCCGACCACATTAAAAAGCCAAAATATTAATAGTACAGAAAAACCCCTCGACATTTCTCTCTGCCTGAAAGAACTCCTTGGGGCACCAAGAGAAAGACTCACTTTGGAAAAAGTTATATCCTAATTAGTTAATTCTTCCCTTCCATCTTATTTAGTTTGCTCTTTAAAAGATAAATATCACCGCAGCAAAACTGCCCTGTCTTTAAGCAGTAGAAACAAACCAACAGAGCTTATGGCTATACTGGCAACTCAGGCATTAAATAAATGTAGAGCTTTATGCAGTGGAGGAGAATGAAGAAGTTAGTGACCTTAAGACTGTCTCTTCATGAGAGAGCTTAGCTAAGAACACTAGCTGATTTATTCTGTTTGTCACTATCTTTATTCTTCTTCATGATCAAAGGTGATCAAGAGATGTATGATATATACAAACACATAACAAAGTTAAAAGTAATATATTTGGAGCTTAGAGACACTAGTTCAAGTCCTAGTTCAGTCACTGCCTAATTTTGTATCACTGAACTTTGGGCTTTGGCCCTGATAGGAGAGAAGTGGGAAGGGCACCTTTGGAGCTGAGATCAGAAACCACACGTGGTACTACCATCTAGGGCTGCCCCTCACCCGGCTGGTTCTTTCATTCTTGCTGGCTCCTTTCCGCTGAGTTTTGCACTGGAGTTATTAGTGTCCAATAAATATTGCAGGACAGAGGTGGTGATGGATGACAGACTCCTTACAAAGGAGACCCATGGGTTCAAGAAAGCCCCAGTCCAGAAGACCTGAGACTTAGTTCTTGTGGTCTACAAAGAAGATCATGATGCTGACCACATTCTGTGGACTCTGGGCTCCTATTTCATTGAATTAAAATGAGGGGGTTGGCCTCCTAAGCTCCCACTCCCACCCTATTTCAGTGGAAAACATTCTAAGGAGCTCTTACTTTAGCAATTTATTCAGCACAATCCTTTTATTACTCTTGCTTAATACTTGTAAAATGCCACACATTCCTGGGCTGCGATCACTGTCACTTACTGTAACACTGTTTTCCATCAGCTCCCAGCTCAAAACCAGGTTGGCAGGCACAAGTGAAAGATCCCACTGTGTTCACACAGCGATGGCTGCAGGGAGCAAGCCTTTCAGCACACTCGTTTATGTCTGCAGAAAGAGATACACAGGAGCTGTGTCTTTGAAGCTGGAGTTAAGACTTATTTACAAACTATAAACATGAACGAAAGCATCCCCTCCCCTTCAACCCCTAACAACGATGCCAACAAACATAACAGTAAAATATCACATAGGCTCCATATTTGCAAATAAACCAACGTAAAATGACAAGAACTGTGTGGCAGGTCTCACTCATGTTCTTAAACACTTCTTTCTATTAGAACCTACTTCTTATTGTTGTTTAGTCACTCAGTTGTGTCCAACTCTTTGTGATCTCATGGACTATAGTCTGCCAAGCTCCTCTGTCCATGGGATTTGCCAGGCAAGAATACTGGAGTAGGTTGCCATTTCCTTCTCTAAGGGATCTTCTCAACCCAGGGACTGAACCCACATTGCCTGCATTGGCACGTGGATTCTGTACCACTGAGCTACCTGCGAAGCCCCATGAGAAACTACTGCTATCTGTTAATTTGAAGGAAGAGAAAACAAACAAAAATAGACCTTTTCTATCCCCTAACAATACAGATAGAACACTTTAATTTGTCATTGTGAATAGATATCACATTCTTAACCAAAATTGGTATCTCTCTGACTTAAGACAGTACAAGTGGCCCTACACAATGCAGATTTGGAGTCTTCTTAAGTAGCAATCCATAGTACATGTTCCACATATGATTGTCACAGTGCCATTTAAAACCTGGTGCCCTCTCTTTCTCAACACCAATAAACAAGTCTATTCAGTATAACATCATTTTGTGGCCCAGGTAGTTTATTCTACCCTTACTCTACCCCTGCCTTAAATGGATAGGTTTCATCATCATTTTCCCAAATAGAACTTCCTCCTTATCTTGTCCTGCATGTCACTCCCATCAGAACTTTTAATTTAAGAGAAATGCTCATCTTTCTAAGGTATTACAAAACTCTAAGTAGGCAGTAACTTTGGGGACAGTCTTTTTAGGAATAATGCACCAGATTTCAAAATAAAAATTTGAAAAAGATATTCTATAAATTATGGCTATATATCTCAATTTTCCACAGGTATTTAATAAGATCCTAGTTTGTGCCAGATACAGAGCAAGGTAGGTTCTACATAAACAGAGGACCAAGGCAGAAATATTCTCTGTCAGAAAAGTATGTTTAACAATCCACAGAAAGTTTTATCTTATTTTTGGCTTCAAGAAAAAAAAAAAAAACCAAAACTAACTTAACACTAATTTTTATGTATAATTCTTTTTCAATTTCTCAAAGCATTTGTCAGTCACATTAGTCAGGAAACATTTTGTATTTTCTTAATTAACCCCAATAAACTGTTTTTCGCTT